CAAAGCTATTAGGGTAAATAAGGCATTTTACCAATGGAGCCCCAAACCGCGAAGCACCTAGTTCCATATCCTTTCAATTTTTCCAATGGAACTGACACTTAAACTCTTAGATGATTTTCCTCCTTATTCTTTTAAAAGCTGTATTTTAAGTTTACCATGAACGTATTTTCGAGCTGACAAACGTGTTTCAGGGCAATGTCGCCATCTTTAGCGGAAAAACTACCTTTCCCAGAATGCATTTCCCTTATATCTGTCCCATTTCAGTCCCTTAAATCAGTCCTTTATATCATTTCCCTTATATCAGTCATTTCCCATAGTTCTTTTTGGGTCTGAGAGTCAACTGGTTCTTTTACCAGACTTGCTTACAAATTCTTGCCCCGGAGGTTTGAACAAAGTTTTTTGCTTTTACAACGAGAGATTTGAACAAGCATTTTACATTTTCAATTATGGGACATTGGGAGGGTTCTGGTCTCTCCTTAGCTGGCTTTAACAGGTGTCTCTCCTTTTGCCACTGGCCCCCAAATCAGAACTGCACCTGCCTCATTAGCCGGCATTGAGGCTGGCATTTCTGATAGCAACTTTCCTCGGGGCTTGTGTTTGTCTTAGCCAGTCAGTGAAAAACAAGATCACGTACAACAGCTTTTCCATAGCTCCTTCAGAGATTTTCTCCCACTGATCTATCTCATTTTGCTTGTTCCTTCCTTCCCCAGATGCAGAGCTTCAGGTATCTGTCTGCAGCTCTGTACCTCTGCTAGCTGCCTTTGGAGGTAGGGGATTTTTTTCTCCCCCCGAATCTGCCTCAAATTCTAGCAGCTTTCACAGGTCATATATTTTCTGGGGAGGATTCTGTCCCCTCTGTTTCTTCAGAGTCTTTCTCCCTGACAGTATCCAATTTGGTCTCAGTTTATCCCCTCTACCCCAGAAACAGTTTCCAACAATACAGTGGTGGCTTTCCCTGCTGCTGAAGGTAGGGTTTTTTTGTCCGTTTGTTTTCGGGGTCTGTGTGGTTTACGTACAGACTGAAAATCTAACAAGGGAGGTTTTTGCCATCTCTAAACTCACATTAAGACAGATTTTTTTGACTTATTAGGCCTTCACCTGACCCAGTCCCCCAGTGGGTTGCATTTGTCCGGGTGCTCAAGGGCAGAGCTTATGCCAGAGGCAATCACCCCTTAGGGCCACACTCCCTCATCTCAGGGAGTCAGTTGAAACAAAGCTTTTCTCAAAGAGGTGCTTTCTCTGACAGAAAAGAAAGCTTTACTCCTGGATAGTTCTGTTCTGCCCTGGCTGGGCTCTTTCCCCAGACAGCATTCTGACTCAGCAGCACAACTGCTTCAGACACAGTTCAGCTTTACTGTTTTCCCAGAAAGGTCCTTACTCTGATAGGAAAGTTTTTCTCAGATGTCTTTTTGCAGTTGTGGATCTATCAACCCGGGACTTGTAGGAAAGCAGACAACTGTGCCGTTCCCACTGGCTTTAGTTTTGTTTGTTCATTAGCAATCTTCCCCTGGGTCCTGCACCTTCCTGCCTCAGCTCTGTGCTCCGGGAAGTTTACAACTGCAGGAACCCTAGTATCCCCGAAATGCACTCCAACTCAGAGACGCTGGCCAGTCGCCTCTGGGTTTTTGGAAAGAAGCAAGGATACAATGCTTCAGGGGATCTTTGCGTTAGGAAGATTAGGAGCACCTTTTCAAAGACGCTCACTCAGAAACAAAACCCTTGATGCCTCAGCTGGGCTGTAACTGAAAAGCTTGGCTTTTTTGCTTTTCTCAGGTAAAGTTTCGGCTCTCCATAGCTCTTTACCCACACTCTCCCAAGCATTTCCCTCAGGGTACTGACCCACTGTCTTTTACTGGCTTGAAGAGACAGAGCTTAGAAGAGGTTTTTAGGAACTTGTCCCTGCCTCCTGCATTGCAGGGAGGATTTTTAAAGCTTGAAAGAGAACTTAGAGAGGTTTTGCTGTCTTAAGAGGTTTGTTGTTTTCCCTTAAAGCTAATCACAGGTGGTCCCCATACTAATATCTTCAGGTGATTCTAATTTTTGTCCTTCTGAGAGTGAATTCTGAAAGGCTTTAGTTTTTAAGTTTGAGAGCTTTTGAGAAAGATGAAGGCTTTTTAGAGAGTTTTTCCCCCCAAATTTTCCAAGAAAAGCTTTATAGTTTGAGAAAGTTTTTTTTCCCCCAGGAGAAAGACCAACTTTCCCCAACTTTAAACTTTGGCTTTTTACACCCCCATTTTTGCCTCAGGGAGAAATCACTTTCTCCTGCCGCTTGGACATTTCAGCTGTCAAAAGCTTCCATTGGAAACTTTTTCTTCCCCATAAGCTCAAAGAGCTTTTTTACTACCCAAAAAGCCCAAAAAAAGATTTTTTTTTCCCAGTTTGCATTCATAGCCCCCAAAGTTAGAAAATTGGAGAGTTTTTCTGTCTAGTTGCCTTACTTATTTTTTCCTACACAATCTTACACTTCTAAGTTTTTCCTATACTATATTACTACCCTATGCCTTATACTTATTTTTCAGATAGAAATTGAGAAAGGGATAGAAGATAGAAAATTTTGACAGAAGAGAATTTCGCTGCAGCATCAGACATCCTTCCAGTCCGCTTTCCTTTTCTCTCGAGGATAAAACCCCTGCCTCTCAATATATATAAAAATATATATATTTCCCATAACACCGGCATGCCTTATCCACTGGCAGGGCTGAACTCAGCACTTTCGCCAAAAACTCTGTAATAAAACTATTATTTTCAGCCGGGCGGTGGTGGCGCACGCCTTTAATCCCAGCACTCGGGAGGCAGAGCCAGGCGGATCTCTGTGAGTTCGAGGCCAGCCTGGTCTACAGCGCGAGATCCAGGAAAGGCGCAAAGCTACACAGAGAAACCCTGTCTCGAAAAACCAAAAAAAAAAAAAAAAAAAAAAAAAAAACTATTATTTTCCTTTATCTTTAGTCCCTATTACTTTGTCTTTAGTCCCTGTTCATTTGTCTTTAGTCCCCCTTTTTTTAGTCCCCCTTTTTTTCTTTAGTCTCTTTTTTTTTCTTTTTTCTTTAGTCCCTGTTCATGGCGCCATTCTGTGGGGCGTTTACCCAAACACCCCCACAGTTCCCCAGAGTTTTCTTGAGTGCGAGCAGCAGGAAATATTAGATAGAAGGATTTATTGCGGAGAATATCATGGAGATAAACAGATAGAGAATAAAGGATAGCCTCGAGAGGGCCTGGAACCTATTCCAACAGGCCCTGACTGTCTCTGCCCCAGGGTTTTTATAGAGACGCCAGGGGGTGGAGCAAAAGACCTCCTCCCCCAGCACAGCCAAGTGCAGACCATCCCAGACACCTGCACTCAGGCCCGTGGTCTAATCATCCTCTATGCAGACCTGCTGGGTAAAGCCACGAGGAACCCGAGAACGGGCTCCCACAGGGGAGAGAGCGGGGAGGGGAGGAAGCAGGGGGGAGGGGAGAGAGCAGGGGGGAGGGGAGGAAGCAGGGGAAGAGGGGAGAGAGAAAGTGGGGAAGGAAGATCAACCCAAGCAGATTTTGTTTGAAAATGACAAACTGAAACCTAATTTTTTTTTTTTTTGGTTTTTCGAGACAGGGTTTCTCTGTGTAGCTTTGCGCCTTTCCTGGAACTCACTTGGTAGCCCAGGCTGGCCTCTGCCTCCCGAGTGCTGGGATTAAAGGCGTGCGCCACCACCGCCCGGCAAAACCTAATATTTTTGTATGATAATTAAAAAACTGGGCCTGTAGACGCTCCCTCTATTCTAGGTCTCCCGGAATGACTCCATTTCTTTGCTAGGAAGATACTTTTTGTATCTTTCTTTGGATGTCAGTGTCAAGACCCAGGTTCCTAAGCTCATGTTAAACACACTAATTTTAGTGCAAGAGGGAGGTCACGTGATGATGGGAAGGAGGGGGTGCAAGTGTGGAGTTTAGTTTTGATTAACATGAATCTCTGCTGGTGCCTGCCTCCCGGCCAGCCTGGCACTCAGCCTGGACCTGGGAGCCGGGAGCCGGGGAGCCGGGGAGCCGGGGAGCCGGGGAGCCGGGGAGCCGGGGAGCTGGGGAACCCGGGAGCTCTTCCCTCTCGGTCCCTCACTCTCCAGTCCTGCTCACACTCAGTGGTGTACCTGCTTCTTCTCCAAGGCCTGTCTGCCACAGAGATCTCCACCAGACGTGAGACTTCCTCCCCTTTCCCAGGCCAGACCCACACCTCCTGCCCACCTCGACTTCCACAGGCTTTTTCCCCCAGTCAAGATGCCAAACTAATCATCCAGTACCACTGTCTCTGGAGGAGTCTATCAAGATCCTTCAGCGACTAGCTGTTTTCTTCTCCTCCACCGACTGGCCTGCCTCTGAGGTCCTCCCAGGTCTGCCCCGCCCCCACGCCTCTCCCTCCACGACAGTAACTTTTGATTGACAACTTGATTAGACTGAGAAGCTGCCCAAGAAATCGGAAAAGCACACCTCTGGGCGTGTCTGTGAGGGAATTTAACTCAGAGAGGGTGTGGGCGGTGGCATCTCACAGGCAGGGGGACCAGATACTGTAGAAGGGGGAAGAAAGAGACCCACCAGCTTGGCATCATAGGATTATCCTCTCTCTCTGCTTCCTGGCTGTTTTGTTCTGGTGTGAGCTACCACATGCTTTGGCATATGATGGGCTAAAACCTCAGAAGCCAAGACCCATAACAGGTCCTTCGGCCCTTCCTTGGTTTTCTTGGGCTCTTCGTGACTTGGATGAAAACTCACCCCTCCTCTCTTCCTTCTACCAGAAAGCACTGTTCACACCTGCCCCCCTCCCCTACCCCAGTTAAGTTTCCGTGATGTCACCCGAACCTCATCTGGGGAGCGTGCCTTCCTGTCCTTGGGTCTGACTCCTTTAATCCCAACACTGGGGAGGCAGAGGCAGGCAGATCTCTGTGAGTTCATGGCTAGCCTACTCTACATAGTTCTAGGTCAGCCAGGGCTGCATAGTGAGATCCTGTCTTTAAAAAAAGACAACAGTAATAGAATGTTCATGTAGCGATTTAATATCTGAATCACTTGATATGTGCTATATGTTAAGGAGGCCCAGAAAGTAAATAATGGTTCCAGACCTCAGGAATCTCATAGGGACACTTACTGTAATAATAAGTACCATATGTGTAAGCACTAGGATTTGTGGGGTTAACCAGGCTCAAAGAAAGGGCTTCTTGGGGCAGATGAAATGTGATCTGCAGGTTATATTATATTGACATGTCAAGAGATGAGCAGGTGCATTTCAGGCAGTTGGGTCAGTTTAGTGGGGTTTCTTTCTTTCTTTCTTTCTTTCTTTCTTTCTTTCATTCTTTCTTTCTTGTTTGTTTTTTTGAGACAAGGTTTCTCTGTGTAGCTTTGGAGCCTTTCCTGGAACTCACTCTGTAGCCCAGGCTGGCCTCAAACTCACAGAGATCCGCCTGGCTCTGCCTCCCGAGTGCTGGGATTAAAGGCATGCGCCACCGCCACCACCACCTGGCTCAGTGGGTTTGTTTTTTAAGATTTGTATTTTCAGCCAGGTGGTGGTGGCGCATGCCTTTAATCCCAGCACTCGGGAGGCAGAGGCAGGCGGATCTCTGTGAGTTCGAGGCCAGCCTGGTCTACAGCGCGAGAGATCCAGGAAAGGCGCAAAGCTACACAGAGAAACCCTGTCTCGAAAAACCAAAAAAAAAAAAAAGATTTGTATTTTCTATCTTATATGTATGAGTGTTTTTCTGCATGTATGTATGTGTACCATGTGCATGCACTGCCCGTGGAGACCAAGAAGAGGGCGTTGGGTCCTGTGGAATCGGTGTTACAGGTGGTCAGGAGCCATCATGTGGCAGCCAGGGCTCTTCACTGAGACGTCATCTCTCCAGACCGATGACTGGAGTTCTTATAATGGAGTGCTTCAGAACAAGGGGAGTAGAGGCCGGGTTGTTATACCTGGGAACAGAAGCGTGCAGGAGTGTGTTGTGAATATTCCTGTTCCAATAAAAATGTGTGTTATAAAAACAATGTGAAACTACAGAACCCCAAGTTCTAAAAATGAGCAGAAACTGTTGACATAACACAGCAGATTCCTCTTCAATAGTAAACTGGCTTTGCAAGGAGGAGGGGAAGTCCCCTGCTTCTAGAATCAGAGAAAAAGGAAAAACCACAATGCTAAGGTCATCATGTTCATTTCCTGGGTCAGGGAAAAGCGTAGCTAAGACCTCGGATTTTAATCCTCACTTGGCAAGAGGACATGAGCTGAGGAAAGAGACCTGTAACAGAACCAAACTCCTCCTTTTAGCCCAGATGTTCCCGAGAACGTGTCCTCAGTGAGAGGTGACAAGGCACATCTGTGCCCTGGCTCAGAATACAACTGTGTGTGTGTGTGTGTGTGTGTGTCTGTCTGTCTGTCTGTCTCTCTCTCTCTCTCCCCTAACTCCAGACCACAGGCCTGTGTCACATCTGAGCTTTGATTAATGACTTTATACCACACAGGGCCCAGCAGTCACCAATTCCAAAAATTTTCATGAAAGTATCTCCCAGATTGGGCACATAATTAGAGCAGTTTGCAGGAATAAATGTAAAAAAATTAATTACATTTATTTATTTATTACTTATTTGTGTGTGTGTGTGTGTGTGTGTGTGTGTGTGTGTGTGTGTGTTTGGAAGACAGTTGCCCTGACAATCTGGCCCAGGGCATCATGCATGGGAGGAAAGTTTATTCTTTAGGCCACTATACCCTTTGACTCTGCTGTAATGGTTGAATGTCTCATAATAGTTAGCAATCACCTCAACTAAGAAACCCAAATTATATTCAACACTTCCTCCTCCTCCCTCTTTTTTTATTTTGACAGGGTTTCTCTGTGTAGCCCTGGCTGTCTCTGTAGACCAGGCTGGGCTCGAACTCACAAAGATCCACCTGCCTCTGCCTCCTGAGTGCTGGGATTAAAGGCGTGCGCCACCACTGCCCAACTTCAACATTTTTCTTACTTTCATTTCAAAGCAATTTTAGACTTTCAGAAAAGATTTAAAAAATTAGCCGGGCGGTGGTGGCGCACGCCTTTAATCCCAGCACTCGGGAGGCAGAGCCAGACGGATCTCTGTGAGTTCAAGGCCAGCCTGGGCTACCAAGTGAGTTCCAGGACAGGCGCAAAGCTACACAGAGAAACCCTGTCTCGAAAAACCAAAAAAAAAAAAAAAAAAAAATTAACAGCTATTTTACACAAATTCTTTATGGCAATCCCCTAATATTAATTACTTAATATATCTATAGAATAGTTATGGAAAGTGGGAAATCTGATATTGATATAATATTTATAGTACAATTTCCTTCTCCAGTTAAGGTCCTTTTTTCTAGGCCAGAGTTCAACCCCAAGCCCCAGTTTTCTCTCAGTGGTCATGTTCCCTGTGTTTGACAGTATCAGCTAATATCTCAGCCTTCCTCTGTGTCCCAGGCTTGGCGGTTTTAAAGTGCCTAGTCAATTATTTTGAGAAATATCCCCCAGTTTAGGCTTTTAGATATTGCCTTGTGGTTAGATCAAAACTATGAGTTTCTGACAAGATACCACCAAACTACCGTGACCTTTTCTGTCCATCAGCTCAAGAGGCAGATGCTGTTGACATGTCTTAATATGTCTGATCTGGTCGGTTGTTCAATGGCGTCTCCCCACTGGCAGGCTGCTGTTTTCTCTTTTTATTTAACACGTTTTGGGGTGTTGTGAGATGGGTCAGGTGGTCAGGTGCTTGCCGTGTAAGCATGAGGAACTGAGTTTGGATCACAGCTCCATGTAAAGACACCGGGCATTGCCAAGCAGCCCCTGTAGTCCTAACCCTGAGGAGAAGACTCACTGGCCAACTATTGGCTGAGTCAGTGAACTCAGGCTCCATGAGAGACTGTCTCATAAACACAGTAAAGAGTGACTGAAGAAGACATAGTGATGTGCCTACACACACACACACACACACACACACACACACACACACACACACTCACACATATACACACACATTTACACACACACATAAAACACACATACTCACACATATATACACACATTCACACATACATACATGCATATACACACATTCACACATACACTCATACACAACACACACATACACATATGCATATACACACATTCACACATCCACTCACACACAACACACACATACACTCACACTCACATACATGCACACACATACACTCATACACATATACTCACAAATATACACACATATACTCATACACATATACACATACACACTGACACACTCATACACATTCACACAATCCACTCTTGCACACATACATTCACACACACACACACAGACACACCTACTCCAACAAGCCCACACCTCCTAACCCTGTCAGGCAGCATCACTCCCTAATGACCAAGTGTTCAAATATAAGAGCCCATGGGGTCCATTGCTATTCAGACCACCACAAGGGCCCTGCACCGGCTGGGAGAATAGCCCTCTACTTGTAGCTACTAGCTGTGGAGCTTTCAGAGCCCAGGGAGAGGAGGACACGGGACAAGGTGTTGTCCAAGCTACGGAGGGTCTTTTCACTGGGGAAAAGTGTCATCCCACTGCAGGTATAAAGGATGAGGCTTGGCCGGGCGGTGGTGGCGCACGCCTTTAATCCCAGCACTCGGGAGGCAGAGCCAGGCGGATCGCTGTGAGTTCGAGGCCAGCCTGGGCTACCAAGTGAGTTCCAGGAAAGGCGCAAAGCTACACAGAGAAACCCTGTCTCGAAAAACCAAAAAAAAAAAAAAAAAAAAAAAGGATGAGGCTTGACCATCCATCACGAGGAAGACAACTTTTTCATCAAAGCTTAAGAAGAGCTAGATTAGTTTATGAAGAGAGTAGGAGGCAGCTGAGTGTTCTTCGTGGGTGTCAGTGACCTTGGTAATTCCAAGCAAGATTCTCTCTGGTTTTACTGCCCTGGGGTCAGGTTCTTCCTACGGGAGCATCATTCTCCTCCCACGCCTTGTCTGCACGGATGCCTGACTGGCCATCGCGGGGGCCAAGTCAAGTGTGCTCCTTGTCATTTTAATACATCTTTTCCCCCACAGAAGCAATCGACTCCTAGAGGGACAAAGGCAGAGGGCCAGTTTTCCAGCACTATTTTTTCTAAGCTTGTTTTACAAAGGCCCAGGATGGTAATGCAGGCCTGGGGTATCTCATCACTGCTGTCTACTTTCTTGAGCCCATTGGCCCGTTACAGGTGTGGCTCAGGAGCAGGGCAGCTTGAAGGCCCCAGAGAGGGATGTGAGGAAGGATGCAGGGCACCGAGCAGCTGTGAGTCAGAAACACCCACTGCCCGCCCTCCTTCTGGATAGCCTGCCCTTCTTTCCACGGCAGAGGGAGAATCCTGAGACCCAGACCTTGACCCACCACCGCTCATTTGTGGGGCTCGGAGAAGCTCACTTGATTTGGTAGAGAGCTCATTAGAAGTAATTTTGGAAGTCTGAAACCTGGCACTCTCCCATTTTTACAAAACCAACAGCTTTCCCCTCCTGTCTTGCTCACTGTGAAGGGGAGGGTCATGTAGCTGGTAGTTCATCCTTTGACCTGGGTTTAAGAATTAAATGTCAAGGTGGTGATGCCTAACAATAGTCTGCTGTACTCATGGACTGGTACCTAGCCCAGTGGTCATCAGAGAGGCTTCATCCAGCAACTGACGGTCACAGACGGAGCTCCTGGAATCCTGAAGAAAAGGGGGAAGAAGGATTGTAGGAGCCAGAGGGTCAAGGACACTAAGAAACCCACAGGATCACCTAACCTGGGCTCACAGGGGCTCAAGAGCCTGAACCGACAACCAGGGAGTCTGCGTGGGACTGACCTAGGCCTTCTGCATGTATGTTACAGTTGTGTATGCTCCTACCAGTGGGAGCAGGGGCTGGCTCTGGCTCTTTTAGCTGGCTTTTGGGACCTTCCTCCTCATCCTCATCATCATCACCATCATTTGAAAAAAGAGTTGCCGGGTGGTGGTGGTGCACGCCTTTAATCCCAGCACTTGGGAGGCAGAGGCAGGTGGATCTCTGTGAGTTCGAGGCCAGCCTGGGCTACAGAGTGAGATCCAGGACAGGAACCAAAACTACACATGGAAACCCTGTCTCGAAAAACCAAAAAACAAACAAACAAAAAAAAAAAAAAACCAAAACAAAATAAAAACAAAAATGAAAACAACAACAAAACAAACAAACAAACAAAACCCAAAAAACAAAAAACAGTTAAAGCTCTTAGCTGGATATAATAACACACACTTTTAATCCCAGGACTCAGGAGGCAGAGACAAGTGGATCTCTGAGTTCAAGGTCAGCCTGGTCTACAGAGTGAGTTCCAGGATGCTGCACAGAGAAACTCTATCTTGATAAACCATTTTAAAAAAAAGTGGGGGAGGAGCTGGAGAGATAGCCCAGAGGTTAAGAACATGGATTGCTCTTGCAGAGGAATTTGGTTAAGAACATGTATTGCTCTTGCAGAGGAATTTGGTTAAGAACATGTATTGCTCTTGCAGAGCATTTGAGTTTGATTCTCAGCACCCACATCAGGCAGCTTACAGCTGCTTGTAACTCCAGCTCCAGAGGATGGCCCTAACCTCAGGTACATGCACATATACAGATACATACACATGTATACATAAATAAATAATAATAAAAATATTAAAAAAAAGAATTAAGGCTCTTCCTATCTTATACCACAACAATTAGTACGAAGAAAGAATTAGTGAGAAGAATACCAAGTAACCAATAAACAATGTAACTAACAATGGAACTATATGTTTAACTTGATCTAGCTGAATGCGCTATAATGGCTGCATCTTAGTATTATCTTTCTGTGGCCACAGTCTTACGCATGTATGCTAAGTAACAATCGTAGAAGAATCCCCTTGGTTTCTTCCTTATACTGTCTTCAGACTTGTTTATCTGAAGTATTACACCCCTTCTTTTTGTTTTGTTTTTCGAGACAGGGTTTCTCTGTGTAGTTTTGGTGCCTGTCCTGGATCTCACTCTGTAGAACATGCTGGCCTCGAATTCACAGAGATCCACCTGCCTCAGCCTCCCCAGTGCTGGGATTAAAGGCGTGCACCACCATTGCCCAGCTACACCCCTTCTTCTTGTGTCATACGAGAAAAGATGTCTCTTCTCCAAGCTAAGGCTCAGCGTGCTACCTATGGGTCCAGATCTTGTGGCCCCGTCCATAGCCTCCAAGAACACCACCCTCCTTGTCTATAGCCTCTGGGAACACCATTCTCCCTCCTGGATCTTCAGCTGCTCTAGTCTATTCATGATGACATCATGTTTTGACAAGTCTCAGTGCTGGTGATCATGGCAGGGGAAGGGCAGAGCTCATGGCAGCTGGTGCTCGTGGAGACCTTGATGTGCCATCCTCAGTGGGTTAATTCTACAAAATAGCTTTGGAGACGATTCTTATTTCTCCAATGGACTATGGAAAGAAAATCATTCATTTCATCATGAATTTTAAAGCCTGCATGGGGACATGGGTGTCTTAGTCACTGTTCTATCGCTGTGAAAAGACACCATGACCAAGGCAACTTATAAGAGAAAGCACCTGGCTGGGGACTTGCTTACAGTTTCACAGTTTCAAAGGGTGAATCCATAACCATCATGGCAGGAAGCATGGAAGCAGGCTGGCAGGCATGGAGCTGGAGCAGTAGCTGAGAGCTTACATCTGATCTACAGGTCCTGTAAGAGGCAGAGAGAAAGAGAGAGATTAGGCCCACTGTGGGCTTTTAAAACCTCAAAACTCATCCCAGTAACCCATTTTACCCAGCAAAGCCACACCTACTCCATCAAGGCCACACCTAAGCATTCCCCAAACGGTCCACTAACTGGAGACCAGGCATTCTAATATGACCCCATAGGGACATTCTCATTCAAACCATCAGAGCGGGCATGTTGGCACACATCTGTCATCTAGCACTCTGGAGGTTGAAGCAGGAGGATTGTAAGTTTCGGGATGGCCTGGAATGCATGGCAAGACCTGTCTCAAAAGCCGTGCAGCAGCAACAGCAACAAAATAAATAAAATAAATAAAGCCTTCCCTGAGCCTTGCCCAGCCAGTCTCAGCTAATCAAAGGGAGTTCTGGGAAAACTTACTCAGCCTGCTTCACTTTTCTCTGCCTCCTACTCAGCCATAAATTGCTGCACAGACTGCGGAATAAATTGGCATTAAAAATCGTTGAAGGAATGAGTCGACAGTTTAGGGGACGCACAGCCTCCATGGCAGGAAGAGCCAGGCAGGGCGGCGGGGTGATCTGTGTATTACCTGAGAGTTCAGGAGGATTCCCAGAATTCAGAGGGGCCTGCAAAGGCCCATGGAACCTCAAGGTACCCTTGACTGTGACACCGAGTGTAGTGGTTGGGTTGTGTAAGTTTCTCCTATCTTTATGTAAACATCAATGGCTTCCCCTCCCGAAAGTGACGCTTGCCTTTTCTCATATTGCCTCATTAATGTGTCCCCTCGTAGCACACCGACCTGCTGCTTCTCTCGGGCCCTCTTATTCGGCTCTTGTGTTGCTGTCTGTGTTTGCCGTCTCCACGAGTGCAGAAAGACTGCCTGATGTGGAAGAGACTGGCTGTGCTGTGGAAACTGTCTCACGTGCTTCTGGGCCTGACATCTGGAGGAAGATGTCTAGCTGTGACTTCTCACCTGTGCGCGAAGAACAGATATACTCACGAGGACTCTTGTGAAACAAGATCTTGTGAAACAAGCCAGTCTGGACCTTAGCGATCCTGCTCTGTGCCTAGGTGTGTGGAAGGTTTATTTCAGCATTTTCTCAGATCATAGTGGCTGCTGTTTGAATGACGTGAGATTTAATTACATAGTTATTGGACAGAAAACATTCTGCAGGCTGTGTGTGCAGTAACTCACTTGATGTCAAGGATTGCAAGTGAAGCTAAATTTCTTATATTTTATAGATGTGGAGCTGTGGATGTATAGATATTAAATACTGTGCTCAGGAGACATGGCAAGCCAATTATGGAATTATAAATTTAAGCTTAGATTATCTGGCTCTGTGGGTCATGCTCTTAATTCAAATGCTATAGGAGAATTTAAATAATTTTAAATACATGCCCACCCATCTACTCACCCATCATAATCTAAGCCCCCTATGAAAAAAATAGATTATTTTAAATGGCCATGGCTTTAAAAAAGACATTAAATGGGGTTGGGGATTTAGCTCAGTGGTAGAGCGCTTGCCTAGCAAGTGCAAGGCCCTGGGTTCGGTCCTCAGCTCTGAAAAAAAAAAGAAAGAAAGACATTAAATGTTTTTTTCTTTTATATTTTTGATTTTTTGAGACAGGATTTCTCTGTGTAACAGTCCTAGCTGCCCTGGAACTGGCTTTGTAGACCAGGCTGGCCTCAAACTCACAGAGATCCGCCTGCCTCTGCCTCCCGAGTGCTGGGATCAGACTTGCGCCACCACAGCCCGGCTGACATTAAATCTTTTAGTGTTCTTAGTTGTTAATCTGGTGAGGAGTAAAAACATGCCTGGTGAGGAATGTCCGGGACATACTGATCTGTTTACAACTGAATGTTCTAGAAACCATTGCTTTTTTTTTTTTTTCTTCAGAGCTGAGGACTGAACCCAGGGCTTTCTGCCTGCTAGGCAAGCGCTCTACCACTGGGCTAAATCCCCAACCCCGAAACCATTGCTTTTTGAATCAGCCATATTGGGAAGGAAGAGTTTTCTCCATCCTGTTCTATGTGTTAATTTGTAGTTATGTATTTTTTTTTTAAGACAGGGTCTCTCTGTGTAGCCCTGGTTGTTCTGGAACTGGCTCTGTAGACCAAGTTGGCACTGAGCTCCCAGAGATCCTCCTGCCTTTGCCTCCTCAGAGCGAGGACTGAAGGTGTACACCACCACGTTTGGCTGAAGTACTGAATCTTTTCTTTCCCGGAGCTTGCAGAGGCTTTCTCTCCACTAAGGATTAAATAGCGTTATGCAAGAATGTACCTTTGGTCTAATGCAGTGATTCTCAACCTCTGGGTCATGACCCCTTTGGGATCCAACAACCCTTTCATAGGGGTCACCAAAGGCCATTGGAAAACACACATATTCACATTTACAGTTCATAACAGTAACAAAATTTCAACTATGAAGTAACAACTAAAATAATGTTATGGTGCGGTCACCATACCATGAAGAACTGCATTAAAGGGTCGCAGCCTTAGGAAAGCTGACAACCACTGCCCTGATGGAAACATCACTGGCTGCTCAAAGCAAGAAGAGGGACTTGAAGGAAATCTGGGACTCAGTTTCCTCAAACGTGAGTGTAGGAAATGAGCGAGACAACCCAAAGGCACTCTCTTGTTCTAATAATCTGATTCCTCACACTTCTAGTTCTGTGTCTGGAAAGCCATGCCTGCTTCTTGCACATTTTTCTCACTGTGTATGTCAAAACCTTTGGTACTAGGTTTTTGGCATCACAACACTTAGACAATCCTTTCTATCTTGGAGAAATAGCATGCCGGAAAAGTGATGATTAAAATTCTCATTTTAGACCAGTTAAAAAAACCTCCTCCCCCTGCTCTTTGATTTGTTTGTTCTTTACCATACCTTCCTAACTATTGAGTCCAGGGACCAGGTGAGGGGGGTAGGGTGGGAGGGTGTCCCCATCACCAAGTAACCGTTAGCTCTGAGCCCTGACCTATGGCTGCTTTCTGAGCTGTCCACAGGTTCCCTTTGTAGATTAGCAGGCCTTTTAATAGGGATAAAACGCTGGTGCGGCTGCTGCTCTGTTGGCCCTCGTCCCGGAATTTTGCTAATGTTGCCTCCATATTCTAGATCTGGCTCTTTTGCCCCGTTACCTTAACATATCTTTGTTGTTAAAAAGAAATTCAACATCATTGGAAACTAAAACACTGGAGTCTAAGATCAGCAACAACTTAGTGGCATGAATAATAATATTTAGCGTCTGCTGGAGACTTCCTGTTTGAGACACAGACAGACTGACTCATTTGATTTTCTATGAGGTGGATGTTATTTGTTCCAAGTTCCCCTACCAAGGCACAGAGAAGTTGATCCAATCACATGATTAATTTTAAGGGTGGGGTCCAGGTAGGCTATTGGTTAAAACCTCGCTCCATAGATTAGGGAGAATGTTGTTTAGTGGGTCTCAACCTTCCCAATGCTGCGACCCTTTAATTCAGTTCTTCATGTTTGGTGACCCCCCAACCATAAAATTATTTTTGTTGCTACTTCGTATCTGTAATTTTGCTACTATATGAACCACAATGTAAATATCTATTTTTGAGACCCACAGGTTGAGAACTCCTGCTGCAGTTGATTGGAGACTGGCCAACTACATTCCAGTAGTTCGAAATTAGCATTTATTGGGGAGAAATAGAAACTATTTCTGATTTTGGATGCTTGAGAACTGAAGGCATGCACAGTAACTTTGTTTATCACAAAGACATTGGTGTAACATTTGCTATGGACCAGTGGCTTCTGGGACCCTCTGAAGAAACAAACGTTGTGGATGGCAGCTTCCTCCAAATTGAAACATTTGATGGACAGGGCAGGGGGGCTCTCCCAGGGCATAGAGGGGCTTTCCCAGGGCAGTAGGGGCTCTCCCAGGGCAGGGGGGCTCTCCCAGGGAAGGGGGGTGGCTCTCCCAGGGCAATGGGGAGCTCTCCCAGGGCAGGGAAGGCTCTTCCAGGGCAGGGGAGCTGGCCCAGGGCATAGGGGGACTCTCCCAGGGCAGGGGAGCTGGCCCAGGGCATAGGGGGACTCTCCCAGGGCAGGGGAGGCTCTTAGGCTCAAGAGGTAAACAAAGGTCTTGTGTCTGGAAAAGCTGAAGCCTGCAAGGCTCTCCAAGGCCCCTCCCCAGCTTTGTAGAAACAGTCTACAGTTTGGGAGGAGCAGGCTGCTGCCTGGAGGAGACTCTGACCTGTGGAGCTGTCTGCAAGTCACAGAGTGCTCAAGGGATGCTTTTGTGGGTCACCACCTGTGCTGGGGTGGACTTTTTGGTGATGCAGTTGCTTTTGAGTCAGCTCTGCTCCCCTGCCCCTGCTAGCCGCCTCTCCCCCTGTTAGCCACCCCCCCATTAGTCGCTCCCCTCATTAACCGCCTCTCCCCCTGTTAGCCGCCTCTCCCCCCATTAGCCGCCTCTCCCCATCCCCCTGTTAGCATCCCTATAAAAACTCACTGGTTCACCAAGCTGGACTTCAGTGCAATCGTTACTCTTGTGTCTTGGGCTCCCTTTTGGGGTCAGTGGACATGTGTGCTATGTTGCTCTCACCACAAAAAAAAGTTTCTCACACGAGGCTGAAGAAAGAGATGACGCATGGGCTTCCAGCTCTAACAAGAGCCAACAACTAGAAACACCTCTGGCCTTAGACGATTTTACATGACTACATGGATGATGACCACAATAATGCCGTGTAGACTTAGAAGCCCCAGGAAACTGTCGTGACAGGAAGGGTGGGCTGGGACCAACAGGGAAAAGAGTGAATTCTAAACAAACAGGTGCCGTTTACAGGGACTGGAGCTGTGTCCCTGAGAGGAGAGAAGAGCGCTGACGTGTTGATCGTGACGCTTGACTGTCAGCAAGTACCAATCACTCTTGAAAGAGCCATCTGCCGATGGGGAAGAGCCAGACGTGGCCTGGGAAGAGCTGAATGTGTGGGGGAAGCCGTTCGGGCTTGGTAAGTGAAACTTAGGGTAGTCGGACCCCAGAAACCCGAGGAAAGGAGATCGGTAGGTCAGTAAGACAGCCTAGGGCAGCCCTGGCGGTTACGGTTATTTCCCACGACTGTGGCTGCAACCTGGAGTGATATGATCAAAAGTACACAGCAGCCCAGACATCCTCACTAGAGCTCCAGGAAGACCACGGGGATGGGTGGTCACATTTCAGGAGGCACTGTGTAGTCTGTCTGCCCTCTTTAGGGCAACCAGTGTCTTCAGATGGCGACAGACAAGCCGGCCTTGGTAGGCTGTTCATTGCTAGGGTGATAGAGTTCCCTGGGCTCAGTCTTACTTCAGATGGTTGTGTGGATAGCTGGGCCGGTTTGCCCTCTGTTTTTGATTTTTCATTTAAAATGCTATTAGTAATTAGCGTAGGCATAGAAGGATTCTGTGCTGTTTCCAGCTTCCATCATTCTCCGGCCTCAGTGTGTGCCGTTCGATGCATGGCAGAGTCCTTTAACCGGGAAGCAACCAGACAGAACCCACCTACAGATGCAATCATGTTGGAAGTAAATGAGAGGTTTTCTTTCAGGGGCCGCATGCCGGGGTCTGGGGCACGGCTCAGTTGGTAAAATGCTTTCTCTCCAGGCATGGAGACCTGACTTAGGAGCCCCAGCCCTCCTTTATGAAGCAGAGCACGGTGGCACACACCTGTCTGTAATCCCAGTGCTAGGGAGGCGGGAGAGGAACATGCCCGGGGTTGCCGGCCAGGCAGCACAGCTGAATCAGTGAGAGCTCTAGGTTTGCTGGAGGGTCTGTCTTCACAATAAAGATAGACCGTGATTGATGAAGACATCTGACAGTGGGATCTAGCCTCCACATAGACATGCACACACACACACACACACACACACACACACACACACACACACACACACACACTTGCATACCCACACACCACACATACACACACCACACACACACACACACACACCACACACACACACACACACCACACACACCCCCCACACCACACCACACACACACCTACACACACACACACACACCACACCACACACACACCACACACACCCACACACCACACCACACACACACACCACACACACACACACACACACACACACACACACACACACACACACACACACACCACACACACACACACACACACAAACAAAACAAAAACCTTGTCCCTAAGTGTTTGTCAATATTTATTGCCCATCATGGGACCCATCGTGCTAATAGGAATCAATAAAGACAAGAGACAGGGAATTCATGAAGAAGCATCAGTATTGGCTTCAGAAATGAGCATTTTGAGAAGATCCTGTCTGAAGATGACGTTTTTACCTCTAGTCACAAGACGAGCCTCCACTCCATCACTTGACTGGTAACAACTTTTCATCAGATCAAATTTCCTCCAGATTCAACTTTTCTCCTTGTCGATCCCAAATGTCTTGGTCATTTGTAGAGTGGAGCGATGGGTACACTTCTGCCTCATTCCCAGGGTGGTCTGGGCTGATAATGTTCATGCCATTAGTAAAAGACTCTAACAAAGAGAAAAACAAAGACGTTTTCATGTCACCGTCATCAGAGCTTCAAGAAGTTGGCTCATTCCAAAACATCAGACTCACCATCCATTCCATGACACCAAAGGAAAGCTTCCTGAAGTTCCCTGTCGTGAAGGGACCATTATTTAACATCAGAGGTGAAATCATTTATTTTTACTGTGATAATGACGATAGCAATTTTAGTGGGTCTAAGTATTGTGGCAAGAGAAATGTTTGTTATTTTACTTTATTTCTTTACGATTTTATTTTTAATTTACATGTGTGGTGCTTTGCCTGCCTGTGTGTAAGTGCACCATGTGTGTGCATTGCTGGCAGAGACCAGACGAGGTCGTCAGATCCCCTGGAACTGGCGTTACAGGTGGTTGTGAGCCACCATGTGGGTGCTGGGAACTGAACCCCGGTCCTCTGGAAGAGCAGCCAGTGCTCCTAACTGCTGAGCCATCTCTCCAGCCCTACAATGACTCTTACTAATGGAAAACATACGGAGCATGAACAGAATGGGTTGTCAGACACACATACTATATTGCTTCATCCAATTAAGTTGTAATGCTTTGCTAATTGAAATAGAAGCTGTGGATGTTACAATGTTAATGCTTATACATGATCACAATTATAGTAATTGAGCTATAAAACTTTTGTGACTATTACATTTTTTTTTCCGCATTAATCAAAAATGGATGCACTGCATCTCTGCTTCGAACTATGAGCTAGTGTTTGGTTACATCTGTGCCTTTGAGGGATGGCTTTGTGTTACAGTGACATTGAACTTTCTGGATTTTGTTCACAATTACTTGGCATTTTTGATTCCTTTATTTGAAGGATGACACATGAAAAACTTTATTCTCATGAAACTTTTGGTGAATTGTAATTACTGAGAAAACAGTTTACAAATAGATCTTAAATGCCCCTTTAAAGAAAACACAGAACAAACTAGACAATGATATCTCAAACTGTTTTTATAATTTAATTTTGGATTACTCTGTTTTCACCTTGGAATGTATTGAATTGCACAGAAATTTTTGATGGTACTCTCACTTTAATTAAAAATTTATGTTCTGTATCAAAAGACAGCTTTTGACTTTGCAGTACTGACATTTGATGAAACCTTGAAAATAGAGAGAGACAATGTAGTTGTTGAGTTTTTTTTCTCATAGAAATATTTGATTAAAATAGAGGCCATTGATGGTTCCTTTTAAAAATATTTGGTTGAAATGCACGTACACATTTCCAGATGAGAGGAGCAGAGGATGAAGAAAGCTTTCCGTGCTTCTAAGAGGGGTAAATGTCCAAAAGTGTTGAGAGAGGAGAGGAGAACGCATGCCCTTCCTGTGACATCAAAGCATGGCTCCTCTTGTGATAGTGACTAGATACCTTGGAGGGCCATGCCATATTGGGGGGCTCGGTGTTGGCTTCTGTTTTGGATATTGGTTGTTCAGGAGCCGCTATAATGAATGAAGGTGTTAAAAGAGGAGGCCACATGTGCAGCATGTCCCAGTCCTGCTCAGCTGACTGGCAAGGCACCAAGTATGCTTCTCCCTACCTGACGATCACAAATGTCCTCCATCACCGATGGGTCTGTCAGGCATGTACGTGGGCTGTAGACACGTTCGTGCTCCATGCTCATTCTGAAACAGCCACCCACGTGTCTTCACCCAGGCTTCGATGTCATCTGTTCTTTCCAAGTCTCTGAGCAGGCAGTCTGATGAGTCATTATGGATTTGTTCCCGAGCCCTTTTCTCCTTCTGCATGGAGTGGGTGACTGGATGTACCACTCAACATCCTGCCCACCAGGATAATTACCCTTCATCTCCATCTTACCCCCAGCCCCCGGGGTCTTGTGGTGCTGTAGGTATTCGCTTCTGGATGGTGACCACACAGCCACCTGATTCACCCTTACATAAGGCCAATGCTTTATCTTCTGATATCTAGACATACTAGACTCCCCTCAGAGCCATGGGCATGGGTTTAGGGGAGCCTGGAAGCGGCAGAGCTAGGGTCATAAAATTAGCACCAGTTATGCCTGTGTCTTCTTCTTCTACTAAGACAGACTTTCCTGTGTGGCATTAGCAGTTTACAAGCAAGTGTTGATGTGAGTGTTCAATTCAACAGTTTGGTGGACTGAAATCAGGATGGGAAAGTGGGTTGCATTCAACTCAATTTTCCCTAGCAAGATGTTAAACTTCTATTGAGGACCAGTAGCCAGAACTGGCTTGCTTTCAGGATGGAGAGCCAGGGGGTGGGGGCATTGGGCTTTCTGTCCACTGCACTGGGTCTCCTCTGATACTTCTACACCATCCAGTCTGCTGTTATATGATTTAAATAATGGTAGGGTGGCTTGAACCACGGCCTAAATCTGCTGAGGAACCCTTTCTTGATGGCTACACTCACAACTGCTGAAATTCTGGTTTCTTAGTAAAAGAAACATAACTTGCTACCCTCAACAAAGGTTGATCCAGCTTCATGCTTCTTTCCTCCTAGTAAGTGGTTTGGATGCAACACATTGGCTCTTACTTGAGAGAGAGAGAGAGAGAGAGAGAGAGAGAGAGAGAGAGAGAGAGAGAGAGAGAGAGAGAGAGGCAGACAGCAGACAGACAGAGGCCCATACCCTTCCTTGCACTAGGCTCATAGAAACCAGTATAGATTCTCTCCTGAGATATGTAATGCAGCTATAGCTTTAGACATGAAAGTTACTTGATACAACCTTCTCACCATGACCAATCATTGTATATTGGAAGCACATAAGGATCTGACACATCGCAGCAATCTTAGGTGCATATCAGCATTGAACCCCATCTTGGGAGCTGAGTAGGTAGAGCTAACTGTTGGTCCTGTCAATGAAGATCCTGCAGATCAAACTAAAACTGTGGAAATTATTTGTAACAGTGGGGGACACACAGCACAACCCACAGTCATTCCTCACAACTGATCTGACCTTTGCTCCCACCAAAAGAGTAATTAGGGATGAACTAGGAACCACCATCCTTTCCCCTCTCAAGTCTTTGATGGTGGCACTCATGCCTGCCCTTCTAGCTTTTCCTCCATGTGTGAAGAAACTAGACAGATGTCTGGCTGATTGATCTGTTATCCTGTTTCCACTGTAGAGTACATCTTGGTTTGGGGATAGAGCCACCATCTATGCCCACAGCTCCACAAGTCCTGGAGTTAGATGGACGAAGACCACGGCCCCTTCTAACACCAGCTTCCATAAGTCCCCACACTAATTTGTGGTCCAGGAGGAATTCTGAGCTCTGTCTGGTGTGTGCATATTTAGCTGGAGAGATCCTCACAGTCTATAGGTTGCAGCAATGTTGGTTTTTTGACTGTGACTTCCTGCTGTGTTGGGTAAGATGCAGGGAGAGTGTGCAGGACTTCCTGGAAGTATAGTCCTCCATGATCTGTGTATAATTAATCCAAAGTGAAAATGTATGAACTTTTGCTTTGCTAGGGTATTCAGAGTAGAGAAGAATGCAGCAAGGTCAGTGTCCAGCACAGAGAATAGACCCATATGCGCATGCTCACACACTTGCCACTCCTAGTACCCCACCAATGAGGCGTGAGCTTTGAACTATTTATCCATCATGCATAACTCTGCAGTCTTCCCTTTGGACCTAGGGTGCTACTGATAAAACATGTGGTGGAGATAAACCCCTCCCAAAGATTGGCCCTTAACCAGCATTGGTGAAGGTGACTATGACCTTCTGAAGTCAGGCATACTAGATCCTCACCTCTACCATCTGGGGGCAGCTGCACAATGATGCAGAGTGTGGCAGTTTGAGTAGGTATGGGCCCCATAGATTCATGTGTTTGAATGCTTGGCCTATAGGGAGTGGCATTATTAGGAGGTGTGGCCTTGTTGGTGGAGGTGTGTCATTGTGGGGGTGGGCTTTGAGGACTCATATGCTCAAGCTGTGCCCAGTGTGGGACACAGTTCACTTCCTGTTGCTTGCAGATCAAGATGTAGACCTCTCAGCTCCTTCTCCAGCACCACGTGTGCCTGCAGGCCACGTGCTTCCTGGAATAATGGACTAAATTAAACCTCTGGAACTGTAAGCCAGCCCCCAATTAAATGTTTCCTTTTCTAAGAAAAGTTGCCGTGATCATGGTGTCTCTATACAGCAGTAGAACCCTGACTAAGACAGAGGGTAGTGGTGGTGGTGAACATGGTAAGAAAGCCTCTGTGAACAGAAGAACTTGAGATGAGGGTCCTGAGAAGAAGGATTAAGACAAACAGACTTCTCTCCTGCTCAAAAATCAAAGAGCTCTGATTCTGGCTCAACTAGAATCATCTAGAAAGATGGGGAACTGCTGTTCATTTCTGGGCTCAGGCTTGTTTAAGAACTTGGGCACAGAGTCTAAATACGTAATTGAAGTTAATCTTGTTGCTATTACCTTATTCATTACTGAGATTTACTGATTGCTTTCAGGGATCATTGTAAAACCAGTTTCAAATGAAAGCTGTCGCCTCACTTTTTTACTGTAATTTCTAAGAGTGCCTATATTCTTCGGTTGCTAAGGAACACATGGATAATGTGTTATCACACTTCTATCTGGTGCTATTTGGATAATTTCAGTAACTACTCAAGAGATTGCTTTAATAGTATATCATCTTAAATGGGAAGAAATGACTAATTCTAGGCTGTTTGGAGAAAAATGACTGAAGTATTTCCTCAGAGGCAGGAGGTTCATCAGCTAAGGGAGAGAAGCCAGTTAGGGCTTCACCCCTGCCACGCTGCTGCTGCCTTCCAGAAGTTCACCTCTGCCTTCAGTGTCTCAGTGTGCACAGGCATCCAGAACTTTCCAGACTGTCAGAGGGCTGACGGATCCATAGGAGGGGTTTTTTAAAAAGGAATATTTTGTTCTGGTGACTTTATTGTTCTCCATTAAACTGGGTAGAGATGCAAGCAGGGCTTAGATAAGGAAACACCACCCATGTTGTCCTGGTTGGAGTGACTGAGACTTGCTGGGCTGGTCAAAGACATAGCTCCCTGATGGCACATTTTCTTCTTTGTCTTACAAGAGTGTCCTGGAACAGGTGGCCCAAGCTCAGAAACTGCTCACCTGGACATGGGATCAATTAGCTATGGTGCAGATCTTAGCCTTGAGCACAGGCACCATGTTTACTGATCTCCCCTGAAGCTCCCACAATGCTGAGCAGCTCTCGGCTGGTTCAGGTTGTAGGAACACCACGAGACCCAGCAGCTTTCTTCACCCACCCTCCTCTCCCATTGCCTGGATTCCTTCCTTTATCTTGAAGAGTTTGAAGCAGAAAAGCTACTGGTGCCATCTGTGTGGCCTCTCTGTTCCTTTAGCCTACATCAGGGCACTAATCTGTCCTTTCCAAAGTCAGTGGTGACCTCTGTGACCCTCGTCCTGTAGAGCATCTCTGTGGCATTTCCCACAGGACAGCATCTCCTCACCCCTGGCTCTCTGCTCTTCTGTTTGAAGCTCTGTCTCTCAATGCTCCGTTTCTCTTCCTTTTTCTTCTTAGTCCTCTTCGCCAGCTCCTCCTTTCCCTCTCTCTGATTGTGGTGCTTGGCGGGATTTGTTCCTTAAGCCTGTCTGCTTTTACCTCTGTCTTGGACACCCTTTGGCCTAGACCTAGAGCGGTCATCTCAGTTCTGCCTTGTGCCTGTCCCATGCTAGTGCTGAAGATACACAGGTGACTGAGCCTGTGACCTCTGACCTCACTCGCATTCTAGGTCTAGAAGGAAAGACTGGCAAAGAACAAGAACACATTAGCTGTTCCACAGTCCTAGTGGGGACCAAAGCAAGTATGTATGATGGGAGAAGACAGGCTAGACAACACCTGGTAGTACAATAATTAAAAATGGTGGCTTGAGAGGTGGCCACCACTGCCACAGTTTCTGGGATTACCATCTCATAATTGCTTACTACAGCTAGCACAGTGGAGACCCTGGCAGCAAAAGTAGCTACCACAGTTAATTAATCTTTCATTCTATTGGGCATGATAAATTTAATTCAATAGTTATATACATTTCGATTGGCTTTGAAAATTATAAATTTATAAACTCAAGTTCCATTTGCTTTTGGGATACCATCTTACAAGGAC